CAACACCAGGGTTCCTTCCACCAGCAATGAGACCTTACTTAAAGGGCTCCAATTTGCGGGCAGATTCATTAACGATTGAACAGGCACAGTCTCCTTAAGGAGTGCTTATATGTGCTGGAGCATCATCTTCATGTTTTCATGGTGCCAGAGCCAGAGGTAAGCTCAGGTCAAAGTTGCCACTCAGCAGGTCCTCTTAGTTATTGCCCTGGAGGATTTTTCAGCATAGATCTGACTGAAGTTGGTGATGGGTGACTAGGGAGCCAATAAGAGGAAAGGTTTTGGGGGGCTGCCTCAACCTAAGACAGGAAATGTGTTTTCATCTGGACACTTTCCCATGACAGGTAAGGGGTGTCGCCTGATGTCCAATGCCACCCAACACAGGCCTAGTCATGTAATTTATATAAAAGGGGACCTGCAGGGCCCATGGGTCTACCCCTCCTCTTGGGGTTCATCTTGAGGACAGTTTCTGGCCAGACATCTTGTTGTAATTTCCAGCTAAATACCCTGTTTGTTCCTGTGCTCCCTTTGCCCCACCCCTGGGGGTTAGTTATATGGCCATTGTTTACTCCATCTTGGACCTGGTAATTTCCCACCTGCCTGGGAGGAATTCCACTGTGCAGCAGCTAGGTATATAAGGTTTTCCCTAAGTTTGAATAAATGGCATTCACCATTATCTCCCCTTGAATGACCCATGTCTCTTGTGCATTTCTTTAATCTCCAGGCCCTTGCCCAGCTCGCGAATGGTACAGTAGCATGAACTATACTGTAGAGAGTAATGCAGGCACATTACAACTGGGAATCAATCTGTTGTGGGAGGCTGCTTGTTCTTTTCCTGGCCACCCAGACTTCTGAAGTAATCACACAGAAATCTGTATTAATTGCAATACTGTTTGGCCAATAGCTTAAGTGTATTTCTGGCTAACTCATATATTAAATTAACCCATTTCTATTAATCTGTGTATCACCACATGGCTGTGGCTATCAGCAAGGTTCTGGTAGGCTCCAGTGGAAGCATCTGTCTCTTGCAAGCAGCTATATGGTTTCTCCCTGACTCCACCTACTTTGTCTCTCTCTCTCTCTCTCTCTCTCTCTATATATA